GAAAGCGGAATCCGGAATTGTTTGCAGGTCCCAGCGCTGCGGGCCAGGGCCGCCATGCTTGGCAGCGGGAGTAGACCTTTGGGTTTGCGTCTGAGCGCTGGCTTGGCCCCTCGGGGCGGCTTCACACCCTCAGCCCCCTCTTCCACCCCCCCAGTGGGAGGTGTGCAGGCTGCAGGGGGAACTCCTCTGTGTAGTAGTACGTTCCACTTACTGCTTCTGCTGCGGAGATAAAAATAAAGACACATCTCCCTCGTTTGTGTGCCGCTTACAAATGCCTTTGGAAAGACGCTTTCCTTCTGCAGTAGTAGGCTTGGCCTAGGGGTTGTACCTGTTGAGAGTGCCTGTAGGTTGCTGGTTGGTTTCTTAACTCCTCAGTTCTTAAGCAGCACAGGCAGCTTCTATTGGAGATCCTCATTGTTAAGCACTTAAAGGGTTTAAATTCAGTTTTGAAGGGGGATTATTTCCAGATATTGCCGTATACCTTGAAGGAGATCATCTTTTGATATTCAGATTCGTTTGTTCTACAGTTTTGTTTTAGCTGCTGTACCAGAAAAGCAGTTCTCCAAATGAAACAACCCCACCTGCCCATGTTTGCCTGTTCATGTATGATTCCTGCTCTTCCCTGCATCGCTTACATTCTTTACGTTGTTTTCAATTTTTTAAAAAATTGGATGGAGACTGACTATTACTTTATAGTTTATTTTGTCTGTGATCCTTACTGAACCTACCTTTGCAACACTTCATACAGCTAATAATAAATCCATGCTGGCATCACATTCAATTATGTCCTTGTTGTCTTGTCCTTTTTTCATGAATTTCCTTTCTGTCCATAATATACATAGACTTTGTATATTGTATATTATTTAGCAAATACCATCAAAGGGATTTTGAGGATTCAGTTTAGCACAATTGAAGGTCTGGAGTTTTCTGCAGTGTCTGCAAGACAATCTACAGAGGCTGGAGAAAGGTTTAAGACAACTGAAGTGAATTAATAGCCAAGGCATTATAACAAGCAACTGTGCTGTAATTGAGTGAATCAGTATGAAGCATTGTTTTTAATACTTGCATATTGATTTGGCACCCAGCCTTAATTTCTTCTTTATTAATAGAGTGCCATGCCTCTGGTACACTCTGGTTTGTAATATAAAAGCTAGATGGAATGAATGGCTCCACTTGCTTGTAGCTTTTCTTATGCTGTCACGAAACATTCCTCTTTAAATCATGTGAGATATGTTGGGTTTGAGGATTTGCTGGTGATGTACCTATAGCTGCCCGAAGCGGTTCAGACTCTTGCTGCATCTTGTCCTGTGGTCTTTCTGCAGGAAGCTGATGTTACTGTTGTATGAAGAAGGATTTCGAATCGTGATTCACACAGCGAACCTGTTTGCAGCTGATTGGTATCAGAAGACACAGGGGTGAGCATTTGGAAGGCTTCAGGGGTACCCCTTGGCTGTTTGACTTTAGTGGGGTGCCTGGCTACACGGAAACTTGGGGTTGCAGGCTAGACATGATTTTTTTTAATTACTGTTATTTTTAGGGATGATGCATTAACAACAACATTTTGGGTAATTTTTCATTGAATAAGCTATATATATAAGTGATAATGAACGTCATGTGTTTACCATTTGGGACATAACTTGATGATAAAAAAAAGCAAAGGGTTAATAAAGCATGTTATTGAGCAACTATATGGAACAATGAGGAGCTTTTATTAATCCATCCTTATTTGGTTTCGTCACTGGTGAGATAATTCTGACTCAGTCTGGACTCCGGTCTCTGGTCTGTTTGATCTGTGAAGCGGATTTGGAATTCATGCTTCTATGCGATGCCTTCGAATGACAGTTATGCTTAATGGTATCAGATGTTTTCAACATGTTTTTATTTTAATTGCATCTGAAATTGGCCTTAGCATTTCTCATTGTCCTCACCATAATTGCTGCGTCGTGTGTTTTTTGTTTTCTGGAGAAAAATACATTTCATACTTGAAATGGGTGTCCTACATTAACTGATGTTAATAGTGTTTCCATGACAGCAGACTGAGCAGATATTCAGAGGATGCTGAAGTTAAAACAAATTAGTGTTTGCCTGAGTATAACTAGGCTTATGACTATTTTTCAAAAGTTTGGATTTTGAGCACGTTCTCTGCTTTATCCTTTTCCTTCAGTGTTGTTGCTCAATAATGTAAATTATCCATTTCCTCAAACAATTTATTTCCAAACTGGGTTTTCCCTAATTGCCTCATTAGCTATTATCTAAAAGCTATGTTGTACCATTTTTATTAATGCAGCTTCCTTCAAGGAGAAACGTTATTAGCTAAATTTCTCTCCTGTATTCTGAGCCATATTAATTCAAGGATTAAATATATTGTACTCATTCTTCGGCTTCAATTAAATCAAGTGGAAACTAGGCACGTCTCTCCTTTCCTTGGTCTTGTATTGAAGGATGAATAAGGCACCTATTATACAGGGTTTGCAGTCCATGTAGGTTTTAGCTAAACTAAAGCTAAAAAGGTTTAAGATTGCAGGGACTAGCACAAGGTAGACCTCAATCTCAGAGGATTTCTGGGTTCTGGAAAATACACGTTTTTGTGGATTTGTTGTGTTTTTCATTTCTGGTTTCTTTTAAGAGTGTTTTTTCACTGCATTGCTTGCATGACTGGAATTAAGGCTCTGTAGCTGGGAACGCTGGCAGCATGGTTGCAGATACTTGTGAAACTGGCACTTCGTTTGTACAAATTCTGATTGTTTTTAATCAGTCTTCCATTGATTTATGGAAGTTTTCTTCCAGAAATGTCTCAACTACAATAGTTTTATTCTGAACAGGAGGTTAATTTGTGGCTTTACACCATGATGGGAATGCATTAAATCAATTATTAATAATATTAAATAAAGGTACTGTAACCCTGCTTGCAGCTCAATATTACCATTTGATTAGATGCCTTGTCTGTTTGTTGCATAATCAACACTGCAGTGGGGAAACAGGTGTGCACATAAACATTGATGTTCTTGATAATTGGTTCCAGAAAGCCTCAGTGTCAGTGACTAAACCATCACCAAAGAATGCCAAGGTGTTTGGTTGTTGCTAATTGCATTTCTTGATTTTTAAGCTAAGCACATACAGTAGCAGAAGTACATTTACATTGAGTGGATGGAATTATATTTCTTCTTTGAGGCTGTATGCCTGTATTTTTATTTTATTTTAGAAGCTGTATTTATGTTTGCGAGACATTTTAGGGTAATATGCAAATGACAAACTGTGGGGTGACTACATGTAACAATACTTTGCCTGTTCCTGTTTCCTTCAGGATATGGATGAGTCCCCTCTACCCTAAGTTACCTGAAGGCAGCCCTGCGACCGCTGGAGAGTCTCGTACTCAGTTCAAGCACGACATCATCGAGTACCTGGAGGCCTACCGCTCCCCCACCCTGAACGAGTGGGCCGACCGCATCAAAGAGCACGACCTGTCAGAGACCAGGTGAGCGGCACACCTGGGGGACTATGTTCGCCTTGGTGCTACTGATCTTGGAGCAGACCACCACACCCCGATCTCATAGAAGCTGCCAGGCACAGTCAGCTGGGCGATTCTTATAACAGGGAAAGTTACTTTTAACTAGTGATCCTTAAGAGTGGCCAATTACTCTGTGTAAGGGGATACTTTTTTATGTTTAATGTATTTACATAGTAACTATGCTCATACTCCACAGCTCATTGTGTCTGATGACTTTATAAAATGAATCTAGAATTGTTTCAGTTAGACCTGTTGGTTTTTTTTAAGTAGTGCTAAACGTTTCGCTTTCTTCTGGTGCGCAGTGTGTTCTGAACGGGGGGGTTGTTTAAGTTGGCATCTCGTGTGTTTTGTCAGAGTTCACCTTATTGGCTCAACCCCTGGGCGATACCAGGGAGCTAACATGAAGAAATGGGGGCACCTGAAACTGAGGAAGGTGAGAGAACAAACGTCTTCTGGTACATCTCTCTCATTCACTGTGTACTTCCTGTATGCAGATTTTAGTGTTTAACACACATTTTATGAAAACGCATATATTTCAGGTGATATGTAATTTAACATTTGAAAAAATAAATTAAACTTCCCTTTTAAGCATCTAAAGGTCTCAAAAAAAGCAAACATTTCAGAACTGCTTTTGTGTGTGTTGCCAGGGGCAGCCTGTGCACACTGTTCTCCTACAGGCAGAGCTGCCCTGACTGTACTGAAGACAAGTGGGAATGAACCCATCACAAGGGGAGTTGCTGTTTGTGCAGTGTTGTTGTTATTCCTTACAGCTCCTGAGTGAAAATACACAGCCCATCCCCAACGCCGAGTCCTGGCCTGTTGTCGGTCAGTTCTCTAGCATCGGCTCCATGGGCTGGGAAAAGAACAAGTGGTTGGCCTCCGAATTCCAAAGCTCTCTGTCAACCCTGGGGAATGGGAAAAAGAAGGCGCTGTGCCCGGAATCCCCTCTGCATCTGGTGAGTGACTGAAACGGAGCTCGGATGAGGGCAGAGTGCCAGGAGGATATACAGCATGGAGCCACGTTAGCGTGCGTAGGCTGCAAAGGAGGATCAAAGATCTCTCCATGTCAGTAGTTCCTATTCCGATCTTTCGGATCTGCATGCCCATTTCTCCTCTGGCCCCCGGCCCTCTGCCTTTTGTTCTGCTTCACCTCATTCCTTTGCCACTTCGCCTCTCTCCCTCACACCTGAGGAAGGCTGTTCCTTACCATCTCAGTAAAGCCCAACACCAAGATTCTTGCCGTGTGGCTCCGCCTGTTTAATTTGCTTTCTTTTAATTTCAGATCTGTGAATTTGAACAGTTATTTCCAACCTGAGAACAGGGCTGCAGTTCGTCATCTTGCTTTGTGCCATTTCTGCTAGAGAAGTGCATCGAGGGCAAAGCCAGCTGTAGAGGATCGGTTTCATTGGCTCTGTGATCTGTTCATGAAGCGTGGTTTTGTTTTATTTAAATCCCTCATTCAGTGGAGGAAATATTTCTGATTTAAAGCGGGGACTCGGACACAAGGTTTACACCAGTGTTGCATAGATGTCCAAAGCAGTGAGAAGGAACAGTGAATAAATTTGAAATAACAGGACAGGACATAACAGGACCCAGGAGAGTTAACAAGTGCAAGTGTCAGGCAGAAAAGATTTAATCATCCATCTGAAAGCACTCTGTGATGCGAAGGTGTATATTTGACCTTAATCTGCAAATTATTCCAGTCTTCACTCATAAAGGAATGACTTATAACCAGAAAGAGAATCTCCTCTTGCAAGTTTAGTTTGATAACAGCACTATAACTTGCACTTCACAGAGGCATGGAAAATAGCAGTAAATTACAGAGACAGGAACAGTTCCCAATTAAAGATCTGTAAATTGATTTAAATGAGTGAGGTATCATACTAGTGTGCAGAAAAGGACAATCACAGTGAATGCAATAGTAACACAAATGAATCTTGTTGTAGAAGATTGCTAAGGGATTGCGTTTCCTAAAAATCACTTTATAATATAATAATAATAATAATAATAATAAACTTTATTTTATATAGCGCCTTTAAAGGTGGCTTCTCAAAGCGCTTTACAGGATGACAATAACAATAAATAAGAAGATTACAACAATAAATAAGAAAATTTCACAAGACAGGACACAATTATAATTACAACAATACAACAATAACAATAGAGGAGACCGTGGAAGATGGTATTAAGAAGAGCAGAGGGGTGAAGAATGGAACCAGTTAAGTAAAGGCTTTTCTGAAGAAGAAGGTTTTGAGTCTGGATTTGAAGGAGTTTAGAGAAGGTGACTCTCTAATATCCTTGGGCAAAGAGTTCCAGAGCTTGGGGGCATAGCAGGAGAAGACCCTGTCGCCCATACAATGTAGACTTTAGACACCTTCCATCAAAGTATAGTGATTCTATATTATCCAAGATGAGAAGTGGGGATATTATCTCAAGTATATAGCAAGAGGAGCATGCAGAAGATAATCTGTTGCAATGAAGGAAACCATTTCTACATTTTACATTAATGTGTAGTTTATTAATGTAGGTTGTGAAAATGAAAGCACTTGACAACCAATTGCCTAGATATTCGTAAACAGTGAACTTTACCTAATTTAATGTTTCACTATGATTTGATTGCTTTTTTAAAATTACTGGCCCTGTGCATTCTGATGCTAGGAGTGATCAGTGGATTTTATTATCGCTTATGTAGTCAGTTACAACCAAGTATGAAGTCATATTGTGTTCTCTGCTTTTAGGGCTTAATTGCAATGAGATGAAATAAAGGAAATGATTTTCGTATAAAGGCTGTAGCCTGTCTCAGGAGCCCTACACTAATGTGAGATTGGAGGTCACTGACCTTTCAACAGCACAGCTTTAGTGGAGGTGTTCAGATAATTGGTGTTTGGAAGAGACAAGTTATTGACATCAAATTAGGTTTCAACTTTGTTCTCTTTTTTCAGTTTCGCTTGATCATTCTTGCTTTTTATTGAAAGAAAATGGGTGCTTTCCTTTTCTTTGGCTAGGTGTATCCCACAGTGGAAAATGTGCGAACCAGTCTGGAAGGCTATCCGGGTAAGCTTTCTACTGTACCTGTACATCCGCACGAACTTCACCTTACACCTAAACCGACATGATTTTTAGACATTTACATTTTGTTTTATAATAAAGATAAAAACGAGCTACTAAAGCATGTTAAGTACTTTTAAGGCATCCTTCGTGTATGTTCCTTGTTATGTGTCATTGTTTTATTTTGTACGTGTATTTAACAGTGCATCAGTGTTCAGCCAGCACAATCTCGTTGTTAAACTCATATATAAACATCTGTAAGGTGCTCTGAGAATTGAAATCGCAGAATGTGAGTGTGGAGGCTCCTCTTCTGCTCCGCTCATGAAAAGGGGCATTTGGCATGAAGCAAGTGCTCAGTAGCCAGGGAGCTACTGTGTCAATTCAAGACTGTCACCTTATGCAGGAGCTGTTGGTGGTACATTACTAACAAACTACTGCCTATGTTGGGAACGAGGGCAGGGAATCCTGTCTTGTCAGTGAGAGCAAGTATAAAGATCTGTGAGCTGGTTATGTTCTTTCATACTCGTTGTGTTCTCAGTGAGAGGTAGTATACAGAGCATGAGGTTGTTATGGTCTTGCACACATATGGTATGGCGAGAGTTTTTATGCAGAGCAGTGTGTCACCACAAATACCCCACCACATTGTAGGAACTGATATCTGTGAACCACTAATTTAATCAAGCTAACAATCAAGATGGACCCAACGACCTCCTCTGAAGGAGGAACATGAGAGGGGTCTGTAACCCTCCTGTTACCATGCTCTGGTGCTGTAACCCAGTCTCCTCCAGCACAGGGAGAACTGCTGGTGGTGGTTTTGACATGCATTGTGAAAAGATGATTTTAACAACTTTTTTTTCCTGCTATGGTGTGGGATTATAGGGCTGAATCAGAATGCTAATCCTAATGCACATACACAGGAGAGGAGCTGCTTCCTCCAGAGCCGCCCCCACCTGGGCGACATGCTGTGTCCATTATGAGCAGATTACTGTTCAGATCAGGGTAGAAACAATTATTCTCATATATAATTAGCACATACGTAATTGTGTATTAATGATAGTCTATATTTAATTAGCTATTATGTAACTATTAATGTCAGAAATACTAGAGTTCACAGATTTAGCTGAGTGCAAACTCGGAGCACAATAAATGGCAACTAGGACTAGGCTAGATATAAACACTTTTAAATCCATTTCTATAATATTTCTGTTTTATTTCAATTTCTATTAAATTGCATACATAATAAATAATGAAGTTGCCACAAGAAAGCCTGATGCCTTGTCCTCTGTCTGTTTTTGTGGCTTGCGACTGCAGCCATACAGTACGTTGTAGACCGGTTTGGCATTTTGAGCTTTATTTGCCCACAGCTGGTCTAGTGTGTCAGTGTGCTGCTGTTTGGTTTGGCCATCTAGCTTTTTTTTGGCTCTGTGCTGACTTTGGTTATTTGCAACGTTAAAAAACACATAAGTAGCGTGGATGTCCCTTTAAACCTTTCTTTTGGCCAATTCTGCTTCTCGGTCTTAATCACTGAAAGCCCTGCTAGTTACTGAACAAGGCAACCTGCTTTTCACTGGACTCCTCTTCTGCTGAGTGTGTAACACTACTGATCTCAGAGCCCATTTAATGCCTATTTTATTCCTGCAGACACCCTGGTTTGGATGTAAAGTACAAGAATCCACTGTTCTATGTAAAGCTGTGGTTAACAGTAATACCCAGAGGCCAGTGAATAATTGCTAAGCAAATATCTAGTGAAGATGCAGCGACTGGTAATTTAAGGGGAAGCATGTTGTTATTAAACACAGAAAATGTGGAACGCTGCACCCATTCCATAAAATCTACTATTTGAGATGCCCAATGTATCTATGAATGTTTCAGTTTGAATTTTCCCCCCTCATTTTCTGCAGGCGTAACCAAGTGGTAAAGACCTATGTCAATTATCGGCAGGCTTTGGAACCCCATAGAGTCCTGTCTCATCTGAAGGAATCTGCCAGCTTGAAGGCTGGCTGTCAGTACAGTGGCTGTCTGAGATCAGATTTCTGTTTTTCGATTGTTTAACAGCTGGCGGATCATTGCCCTACAGCATACAGACTGCACAGAAGCAACTGTGGTTGCATTCTTACTTTCAGTAAGTAGTTTTGAATATTTTTTTTCCTCTGTCTTAGTCTTTGTGCAGAATTCCTCCTGTCAAGTGCTGCTCTGTTTGTCATATGTTGCACCTCACAAATGCTTCATGCTGAAAACAGCACATGGGCTTTTCTAAGCCATATGTAACTGAAAAACAACATAAAAAGACCAATGCATCCCCAGATGTTTTAATAAGAAGAAAAGGAAATCTTCTAAAAAGGTTTCAGCCAAGTAGTGTTTGGAAATTATAGATCTAACATTTTTTTTTCATGATAAATTGTGCCTTCTGAAAACTAGGCGCAAAGTTGCAATTATCCTTTTGGAAGTTGTGTTGACATTTGAGGTCTTATAAATGCAGGGTTGGGTTTATTTATAGAAACAGAGTGAAGTCGACTACGTGGTCAAGAGGAGTGTAAATCTCTAGGCTTCACTTTCTCCTCAGTGTGAGTCAGACTTCTGGGCTTCTTCACAAGATGTGCTGTCATAGCCGCCCGAGAAATACCCATCCCACTTTGCGTCTCAATGACGCCTTGCTAGGTAGTTATTTGTAACTTTCAACAAGTACTTTTTTTCAATGATCTTGAAATCAGTTTCTATTTATTGCATTTGATTTTTCTTCCAAAACCTGGATTTTTGTTGCTACAGCCTTGTAGTTATCTGGGAAAGTGTAAAAAAAACATTCTATTTGGTGGCATTTATATTGTGACTTGAATGGTTCTGTACCCAACATATGCCTCTTATTTTACCCAAGTGTTTATAATGCCCACCAGTGATGAACAAGATTCTCGCTTCATTGCAAGAAAAGCCAAGACTGCTAAGCGTTTCAGAAGTAAAACAGTTTATTTGAGCTCATTTCATCAACATGCCTGTAAATTAAGAAGAAAAACCATCCACTCCAACCCTGCACGAGAGCTGGGCAATCATTAAAGTGCTTTCTACAGGGCAGATGTAAATCACATTAATAACCCTTTTGGAAGATGGTGTCCATAATTAGATGCATCACAGACGGACAATACATCTTCAGGTTTTGATTACAGATGCATTGTGATTATTTAAAATCATCTGAGCTTGTTAACCTGTGCTACAAGAGTAGTGGACTGATTAAATATATTGGTGCAAAGGAAGTTTCACGCTAATGGAATAAATTATTTTCTGTTTGCAACAGATTATTTTCTGTTTTGTTTTTGGATTTTCTGAAGGGAGCTGCTGTATGAAAGTTGTATAGCTTTGGAAAAGAGAAAAGAGAAGTTTATCATGAGGAAGACAGTTCAGTTACATGGGAATCTGATTAATGTGAAAGAGTGTGTAATAGAGTGTTTTCCCTTTGTTCTGCTTCCCAGCAAATGGTCAGCAGAGGTGACTGGCAGGAGCCATGCAATGCCACATATAAAGACTTACATGAGGATATCGCCAGACTTCAAAGAACTTGCGTGGTTTCTCGTCACAAGGTAAATTATTATTGTCCATTTGCTTAGCACTAACAGGGCATCTCACAGTGCAAAAAACTAAAACATTTACTGTTAGAAAAAGGAACAACAGTGTAAGTCCCAATAAACTAAATACAAAAAGAAACTGCAAATGGGACAGGTGTCTTTGCGCATGTGGTTAAATTCAGTGATGGGAAGTGTCATCTAGTTTGGAGTCATGTATATTATTAGTATGCCAAACATCCTGTTTGATTAGATGCGTGTTCTGAACAGCAAAATCTTCAAATGACCGATCTTAGGTTGTATGGTAGTTCAGCAGATGACAGCATTCTATAAGAAGACTTCTCATGTCAATGTCATGCAGCTTTTCCTTAGCAGCCCTGTTGTCTGTATTTTGATCACTATCAATATTGCTTTTAAATTTTGTACTGGGCTGTGGTTTTCTTAGTTGTTTGTTTTTAGCCCCGATAAATTTCAGCTCCTCCACGAGTGTTTGGTAGCAGAAAAAAAGGTACTTGTGGCAACTGCATTTTCAGACTTTTCCATTCAAGACTTCAAGAACATGGGCAACCAGCCAGCTGGTCTCTTGAGATAAAATCTCTTAAAATCTGCAAGGAAGACTATCGGAAACTTATAAAAACTGTTAAGGCTGAATGGGCCTGGCGAGAATACTGTCACTGGAACAGTATAGTGATGGTGACAACTACAGCTGAAAAAACTAGCATGAACTCCATAAAATATCTTCATTATCATTAAGGAGGTAATTTAGGCTAGAATGAGTTCATGTCAGTGTACTACTGCACAAAATTAGTGTTTCATCTTAAGTATCTGAATTGTGAATCTCCTCCATGTCTTCATGCATACTTGAGTGCCTAATTCAGGTCATTTAATAAAATGATTACTCCCTCTTCGTGTTCTTTAAAATATCCCTAAAAAGCCCTCTGTATCCATATAACCCAGGTAATTCCTCTTTGATCATCATGTTCTGAGTAGCTTTTAATGGTCTTCTTTTATCAGTGTCCACACAGCACCTAAAAAGGGCACTTTTGATGTTGCATTTGACCTGTCCGTCTGTCGTTGGCATTTGTTTTTAATGATTGTCTGCAGTTCTTTACTATAGGAGAGTGTTACACTGATCTCAGTTGATCTTAAAGTATATCTAGCTACTGCCTTATGCAGTTTCTTATGATGGTGGTTCTTTTTTTTAACATTATTATTTTAGGCTGTGTTTGCAGAGTGCACTGAGTTGACCGCAGGCTTTTGTTGTAATCAATACTAGTCGGCTTCTCTGTTAATTAGGGCTGCCAGTTTCATACAGGCCAATAGAGCCCTATTCAAGATGTGAGTGTTGCACTTTGTGTTCCTGTAGAACCCCTAAAAGGATTTAAATTGCTGGATTTGGTCAGCAATTTGTGTTTGCCAAGTTTCTACTAAAGCTAGTGGAATAGTAAAATATTTTCTTTCTGTGGATTCCGGAGAGCAACTTTAGTGGAGTGTTTCAGAGAGATGGAAAAAATGAAAGAGGGGCAGGTTCAGGCTTAGGAAACTAACCATGGTTCCCAGGAACCTTATAGGTCAGACTTAAACAGAAAAGACAGTGTTAGGAGTATGCAACAGACCTTCCTGCAACAAATTCCTTCTAATTCAATTCTATATGAGTCTGTAAAAGAATAAAGTCTGTAAAGTGTTTTTTGGGAGAGTTCAGATTTCCGCACACGGACTTATTAAATCCAGTAGTAACGTTAGCAGCAGAAACCAAAATGCCAGACATACAGACTTTTTAAAAAAATAAATGCCTTTGATTTCAGTAAATGAAAAGCTAGAGAAGAGATGTTAAAATGGTTCAATAAGTCAAGAAATATGAGGAGAAAGGGAGAGTTTCAGGAAACCATTCAAATAGAATAGGATCTAGTTAAAAGGACTATAATGAATTGCAGGCACAGACAATATTAGGAATATTTCACCTAATATTACGAAGCTAAAATTAATATAATGTGTTCATCCTATTATTAATATATACTGCTACTCTAGAATCAGGCCAGGTAAGAGCAGCTAGATATTTTCCAGGGCTGAAAGGAATGTCCTACACTGACAGAATAAAACCTCTGGTCACTTTTATCCTTGAACAGAGAAAACTGTTAGGGGCCCCGATTCATGCATTCAAAAGTCGTGAAGACACTGACAGATTTGTTCCAGAGGACCTCTTCAGAACCATCACTGGCACAAGAACCAGTGGACAGAAATGAAAACTACAGAAGTGCATTTACAACCACAAACACAAGGTCCTTTTTACAGATCGGCTTGTTTGAGTGCAGAACGTTCTCACCAGCCATATTAAAGCCGTCATCTTTCGTGAAACATCTGAATGAAACCCACAGATCAATTAGCAGCTAACTTCCAAACAGGCTAGATTGTCAGAATAGTCTCCTCTCGTTTGTAAACTTTATGTGCTTTCTACTGACGAAGTCCTGGTATCTCCAGCTCAGCACCGTGTTACAGAGTGACCTGATTTGTTGTACAAAATTAACTTGCCCTCTTCTGGCAAGTTGGTCAGACAACTGACCTTCCAATTTAGAATTCTAATTAATCCTGTCAGCCTGACATGCCGCAGCTGCGTTTACACATTCAGGGCTAGAAATCACTTGTTTCCTTGCTTCCTTTGTAGAAACCTAGTCAAAAAAATATAAAAGATCTCCTTGACCTATGTACAGGACACAAGGCAGTCAGTTCCACATTTGCATCTCATCCAGTTATGATGGAGCCTGAGAAATCTTTTCTAAGTCAACATTAGTTTGTCAAAGCATGCTCTGGAGGAGTTTAGGTATTACAGTTCTTTTGATGAAGGTTTTCTGTGGGCTTCTGCCTCTGGAAAACCCACAAGTCTTAAAGTATGGCCAAAACCTCACTCAACAGGAGTCTTTTTTGATAACCTTCTTAAACTGTTTTATCTCTCTCTAAAGATATTTAACTCAGAACCTGGTGTTAACTGTGCATCGTTTCTTCTCTGCCAGCTCTATTGAAGTGAGGTGTTTCATGTCATGAGCTGAAAAAGAAATTGATTTTTTAAATCCTTACCCATAAGTCGCTACCTTAAGATATTACATCACTATAAAAAAAAGAAATCATTTAACTGTGCTGTTGACTATTATTTGTAGGCCAATTTATTATCAAAGACTTCTTTTTTGCCATGTGCTTTAAAATTCAGCTGTCTTTTTTCGACTTTCACAAAAGCGTTCTAATATGTGACAGCTGGGCTGACAAGTGAAGGCTCTCAGTCAGGTGCAGGTTGAGTCCTGTAGTCCAGACATCACCAGTTCAGTGTGGGCTGTGTCATTCGCCTGCTGTGAATGGGACAGGCAACGGTGAACAGTTGCTGCAGTTGGTGAGTACCACCAGGGTGAGTTTGCCAGAATACTCTTGGCTTGGATTGCAACATTGACTTGCTGGACACCTGTGAGTTTGCAGTGCTGTGATTGGTTGGCTACCATAGTGGATACCGTGTAGGCACTGTGTGACTCACAGCATGGAGTTGGTGGATAGTGTATGTTTAAGAGGACAGCTTGCATTGTCCTCATCTCTTGTAGTGGTGAGAGGACCACAGCAGTGAGCTGAGTTAATAGAAGCATTTTATATAGCGTGTTATATAAAAGCATTCCAGCAGATTTAAAATTCATGTATAAGCGAACTTTGATCAGATTTTAGAATAAAGAAATGTGCTTTGCCTTTTAAACAAAAATAAATCTAGTTTTGTCCCTCTTTAAAATGGTATCTATTTTCATCACAGCGTATATTATATGTGGCACATGTTTTAGAGTGATTGGGAGCTCTTGGTTCTACGTTGTGTACAGGAAAAAATGCATTTTACGTGGAGTTTTGACATCCGAATAATAAGATGTACTTTTTGAAAATGCACTTGAAGTACTTTTTCACACTTTACACTTTGGCTGGAAAGGCAATGAAGGCTCCAGACACAGCATTTGGTTGAGAAGAAGCCTTGGCTGTTTCCTTGGTGATTTCAGTCAGATGCATGGCCTGATTAATCTCTCCCACCGTCAAGGCAGTGATGAGCAGTCTGTGTGAACATGGCGATCAGAGGTGAAGAGTCCTCAGAGGCCATTTCGCAGGACAGTGCTGCAGTTAACTTCGAAATACATGAACAGTTTGACATCATATCTCAATTTCTGTAAATGCGAGGAATGAAAGGGGATTGTAAACTTTTACCCGAACAGGTTTTCTTTTCAGAAATAATAGGAGATGGATGTTCATTCTTTGTTTTTTTTGTTTCTTCAATTCACCAACTCTGCATATCCTGTATTGCATTGTTCAGGTGTTCAGAAAAATAATGCATGTTTTGCATATTGATTAGATGTTGTTGCTTCATTTTGATTAATTGTTCGTTTGTGGCTGACCGTGATACGTCACGAGTGACTTGGACTTTTGCATAAGCACACAATTGCCTCATTAATGAGATTATTAATCGGGTGCAGGTGAAGAGGTGATTTCAGCCGAGGAAAGTCAAGCCTGGTGAAAACTGAGAAATGAACCAGTTAGTCCTGCTTATCAGAAAACATTTTTGTGCTGTTGGTGTGTTGGAGCTTCAGCTCAGCTGGCCTCTTGAGTAATTAATCTACGTTTGGTGCCAACCTCTGTGACGGGCATCAGGGAGTGTGGTTTAGGCTGTGAACAACGTGCCACAGAGTGGAAAATCTCTGCGTGTGATGGTCTGCCCAGGAGTGTCTGGTCTCCCCAAAACTCTCCTCATAGTGATTGATGCAACCTGATTGCACATCGATCCAGTCCTGGGACCTCAGCTGCTGCCCTTCCTGGGGGCTCGTCCCGACGTGACCATATTCCAGCAGGACAGCTAACACCCCCGTGCTGTTCGCGCTCTCCTGCAAACTGAGAATGTGACTGTTATGCTGCGCCTGCCCGATTGAACCGCACTGAACACCAATAGCATGAGCTGCGAGACCAGTGAATAGGGACCATCCGTGTTTCGCCTGTACAACGGGAGCGAGACG